TATCGCCGCGTTGCGCTGCTACTCATTGTATTGGTCACGAGTTATACTATTATAGATCGAGTTCCCACGCGATGTACTGTCTCGCGTTATACCGCCGCTTGCTATATCGCCGTGCGTTGTGTTATCACGTATTACACTTCCATACGTTGTATTTCCACGTATTACATTGCTACGCGTTGTATTTTCCACGCATTGAATTGTCACGCGTTATATCGCCACTTGCTATATCGCCGCGCGTTGTATTATCACGTATTATACTTCCATACGTTGTATTTTCACGTATTACATTGCTATGCGTTATATTTTCCATGCATTGAATTGTCTCGCGTTATATCGCCACGTGCTATATTGCCGCGCGTTGTATTATCACGTATTATACTTCCATACGTTGTATTTTCACGTATTACATTGCTATGCGTTATATTTTCCATGCATTGAATTGTCTCGCGTTATATCGCCACGTGCTATATTGCCGCGCGTTGTATTATCACGTATTATACTTCCATACGTTGTATTTTCACGTATTACATTGCTATGCGTTATATTTTCCATGCATTGAATTGTCTCGCGTTATATCGCCACGTGCTATATTGCCGCGCGTTGTATTATCACGTATTATACTTCCATACGTTGTATTTTCACGTATTACATTGCTATGCGTTATATTTTCCATGCATTGAATTGTCTCGCGTTATATCGCCACGTGCTATATTGCCGCGCGTTGTATTATCACGTATTATACTTCCATACGTTGTATTTTCACGTATTACATTGCTATGCGTTATATTTTCCATGCATTGAATTGTCTCGCGTTATATCGCCACGTGCTATATTGCCGCGCGTTGTATTATCACGTATTATACTTCCATACGTTGTATTTTCACGTATTACATTGCTATGCGTTATATTTTCCATGCATTGAATTGTCTCGCGTTATATCGCCACGTGCTATATTGCCGCGCGTTGTATTATCACGTATTATACTTCCATACGTTGTATTTTCACGTATTACATTGCTATGCGTTATATTTTCCATGCATTGAATTGTCTCGCGTTATATCGCCGCTTGCTATATCGCCGCGCGTTGTATTATCACGTATTATACTTCCATACGTTGTATTTTCACGTATTACATTGCTATGCGTTATATTTTCCATGCATTGAATTGTCTCGCGTTATATCGCCACGTGCTATATTGCCGCGCGTTGTATTATCACGTATTATACTTCCATACGTTGTATTTTCACGTATTACATTGCTATGCGTTATATTTTCCATGCATTGAATTGTCTCGCGTTATATCGCCACGTGCTATATTGCCGCGCGTTGTATTATCACGTATTATACTTCCATACGTTGTATTTTCACGTATTACATTGCTATGCGTTATATTTTCCATGCATTGAATTGTCTCGCGTTATATCGCCACGTGCTATATTGCCGCGCGTTGTATTATCACGTATTATACTTCCATACGTTGTATTTTCACGTATTACATTGCTATGCGTTATATTTTCCATGCATTGAATTGTCTCGCGTTATATCGCCGCTTGCTATATCGCCGTGCGTTGTGTTATGACGTATTATATTGCCATACGTTGTATTGCCATGTGTTGCATTGCTACGCGTTGTATTTTCCATGCATTGAATTGTCTCGCGTTATATCGCCGCTTGCTATATTGCCGTGCGTTGTGTTATCACGTATTATATTGCCATACGTTGCATTGCTATGTGTCGCATTGCTACACATTGTATTTGTCATGCGTTGAATTGCCACGCGTTATATCGCCATTTGCTATATTGCCGTGCGTAGTGTTATCACGTGTTATAATTCCATACATTGTATTACCATGTGTCGCATTGCTACACATTGTATTTGTCATGCATTGAATTCGTGCATTGAGTCATATGTTATATCGCCACTTGCTATATAGCCGCGTATTGCACATCACATGTTATAATTCCATACGTTGTATTGCCATGTGTCGCATTGCTACACATTGCATTTGTTATGCATTGAATTCATGCATTGAGTCGTGTGTTATATCGCCACTTGCTATATAGCCGCGCATCGCACATCACATGTTATAATTCCATACGTTGTATTGCCATGTGTCGCATTGCTACACATAGCATTTGTTATGCATTGAATTCATGCATTGAGTCATATATTATATCGCCACATGCTATATAACCACATATAGTATTCCCACAAGTTATGTTATACGACCACACATTAAATTTGAGTTACCATCTACATATCTATCAAAATGAAAGTACGTCTTTATACGCGCTTCTAAACATAATCTTTGATTGGTTAAACGCTAAAATCCTTTTATCTTTATTCTGCAACCTATGCCTTTTACTGCATTCGAGCAGATGTTCCTCGTGATTCAAGGAACATTTGCCCGCTGTCATTTTTCCACGGCACTTCGCACAACGACCGTTTTATTTCACGCCATTTCCTCGCGCGTTTTACGTATTTACATTAGTCCTGGGAGGAGGAGAGGCTGTAGGGAATTTCGCTCGCCGTTTAATTGACTCTGCGATTCGCAAACACGAAAGCTTTCTCGTTTCGTTGATCGTATATTGTGTCGTACTTTACGCGCCGGTATTTCGCGTTGGCTAAACATAATATCCCGAATCGTTTAAAATCTTTGAATCTTTCCAGACGGTAAGCATTACTTAATCAACTTATTTGCTATTAAAAATAATACGATAAATATTCAGTTTGTAGTCAGAACCTTCTAATTCAAAGCGTCGAAATTCTAGATTCCAATTAAAAATTCGTGAATGCACAAACTCTGGAATTAAATTGAAATATTTAGTAGTGGGAGTACAATTGTCTTTAACCGGAGTAAGCGATATTTGACCCGCAATACATCGAATTTGTCAGTATCGTCGAAACAATTTAGGGTTTCCTGACGTTCCATTTGCCTGAATCCATTTACGATCGCGTTTTCCAACAAAGACCGATAATCCCCGAACGCTCGTGCACGATTTCTCATGCTGGTTTCCGGGGTTTAAAGAGAAATACAAAGGACTTGGCAAGATGACGAGGGAATTATTCAGTCCTGTTCTCTATTTTGCCGGCCACCGTGCAATAGGCAATAACTGCCTGACGTAGATAACGACCAGTCGGACTCCTCCGTCCCTAAAGGGACAGAGATAATTCGCGAAGATCGTTCTAGCGCGTGGAAAAGCCAACAGGGAACTGGCCATCCCTCCTCGACGTAATAATACGTCGTCCGATGGGAGAGGCGCGTGGCTCGCATGCAGATCCAACGGGATCTGATTAATTCCTCTACGATTCTCCCTTTTGACCCTCCTCCAACCTAGATAGGACCGATATCGCCCTCCGATTCTTACGCCTGCTAATGTCCTTGATTTATCGCTTTCTGTCGACCCGATTAATTCACTTTCCCGGTTCATTTTACTTTTAATGGAATATAAACCCGAGTGCACGATAATTTATCGGAGAACCAGAATTTTACATAGATTGGTAGCCATCGATAAATTCAATGAAACTTTGAATGCTAGACTTCAAATGTTTTCACCTAAATCTGTTTTTCCTTTTTAACTCTGAACGATGGGATTGAACGGTGGCCAACTTTAATCGAATCAAACTTTAATATGAGCAGGTCTTGTTGTAGGTCTTGTGAGGCTAGACGTCTTGTAACACTAAAGAAAATTATTTA